GTTTTTTGCTTCTGGAAATATTGATGCATATTCGAAGGAAACGGTTATAGTGTTATTGCCTAAAGTTAAGAATATGAATCTTCCTTCCATGTTTAGACCTATTAGTTTGTGTTAAACAATCTATAAGATTGTTGCAAAGGTGTTTGTTAACAGGATTAAAGGAGTGTTGCCCAAGTTGATTTCTGAAGAACAAGCAGCATTTGTCCTAGGGAGATCTATTTCTAATCATTGCTTGCTTAGATAGGAGATGATGCATAAATTTAAAGTGTCAAAATCTACTATGGGCTATTTGGCTCTGAAAGTACATGGAACAAGCATATGATAAGATGAACTGGAAGAAGACTTTGGCGCTTGTTTTGATAAGCATGGGATTTCCTCCTAGATTTATTTCTCGGGTGCTAAGTTGTGTCAAAAATCCAAAGTTCTTTATTCTTATAAATGGAAGGCTTACAGAGGTGATTACTATAGCATGTGGATTTTGCCAAGGGTGCCTTTGTCACCCTATTTGTTTATCCTATGTTCTGAGCTGATGTCTGCTCACTTTCATTACAATTTAAAGGAGTTGGGTGTTCCAATCAATGGTGGGGGGCCTCCTATCTCCCACATTCTTTATGATGATGACATTTTATTTTTTGCAGGTGCATCTATTCCAAATGCTAAGAAGATTAAATCCATTCTTCAGGATTATTGTGCTTGGACGGGGCAAAGGGTTAATAAAGACAAATCTGCCATTTTTTTCAGCAAGATGACTTCATTCACTACTAGGTTCCGATTAGTTAAACTGATTGGATGCTGTAAGGTGGCTGAAATGGATTATTTGGGGATTAAGTTGGCTTTGAGGAGGCTCACTAGGAAGGACTTTGCTCCATTAATTCATAAGGCTTGTGGTTGCACTTTGAATTGGTTGCATAAGTGACTTTGATAAATTTTATTTTGCTACCGTTATCTGTGTATATTATGACACATATTGTTGTGCCAAGATATGTTCTTAATGAAATTGAGAAGTTGTGTCACAGCTTTTTATGGGATAAATATGCTACTCATAAAGGCCTTCATTATGCTTCTTGCAAAAGTGTGACTCGACCAAGATGTAAGGGAGGTCTTGGTTTTCATGCTAGTGTGGATTGGATAGGGCCTTTGCGCTCTCAAATTACACTGAAATTCATCAACAAGCTTATGGGGCTCTTTCAAAAAATGTATGTGGAATAAGTATGGTGGTAACCCATGAGAGTATGAAGTGAGGAGAGGAAATTCAAACTGCTGGAAGATAATATGTGAAGGTGCTACTGCATTACATGGATCAGTTAGGTGAAAATCTATAATAGACAAGATATTGAGGTTTTGAATGACATTTGGATATGGGATAGGATGATTGCTGGTTGGCCTACCTTTTATGATGTTAATGCAATTAAGAACTTGAAGGTTTCATAATTTATTACCGAGGGAAATAGCTGGGACAGACCGAAGCTTTTGCTCTATTTCAAAGAGCTGCTAGTGGACAGAATTTGTGAAATTCCTATTGATTGTGGGATGGATTCTGATTCGCTTAAATTGATTAAGAGCCCGTTATGTTCAACTATATCAGCTGAGTTTATAGCATAATTTTTCAAGAAGAGGATGATCCGGTGTTCACAATTTTGAAGTTTGGGTTGAGGTCTCGTGTGAGATTATTTTGGTGGAGGATTTACAAAGATATTGTCCCAACAAACTCATAGCTGTGTCGACGTGGCTTTCAGGTTGTATCTAGCTGCTCTGTTGGGTGCAATTAACGAGAGGATATCGATCATATTATGTGTAGAAGTAAATAGCTTCTGGAGGAGTTGGATGTGTTGAAAAAATGGGGATTCTTTGCTCCCTGGTTTACCTCATTTAAAGAGCTAAAAACATCATTTGAGAAAGTTGCTGATGGGAAGAAAGTTTGGGTGATGATTTACTGTGAGGCCGTCCATCATTATTGGAATAATAGAAATGCTCTTAAATATGGAAAAGGCTTCTGTTCTTCAGAAATTATGGCTACCAGCATTCTGGAAGTTCTTAATAGAAGTTATTTTTGGATGCATTCGGAGCAATGGGATACTTCTCAATCCTTTGGATTGCTTAATGTGTCGTCTTGGTGTCCCCCCCCCCCTTACAGGTTGGTTGAAAATAAACTTGGATGGAGCTTTGCATAGATTGAATGCAGGTGGTATTGGTATTGTCATTCATGACAGTGATGGGAGGTTCTTAGTAGTGGTTGGGTGGAGTTTAAAACATTGGGATAGCATATAGGTGGAGCTGTTGGATTTTTGTTACATAGATAAGCTCCTCCTCGAATGGATGTATAATTTGCATGGGGTTATTATAGAGGGAGATAATGCTAGTGTGATTAAGCATATGTAGAATTTTATATATAAGGAGAAGTGGAAGCTGCAGCCGATGGATGGTGTGGAGCTGAATTGGATAAGGATATTTCAAAAAGTTTTATTTTAGCATACATACAGAAGGTTTAGCAGAGAAGCCCATTTTTTAGCACAGATGGCTGTAGATAGTTCTCTTTTTTTTTTTTTTGATATAGGAGATAGCTTTAATAATTGTATTCCACAAGAATTTTTGGATATTCTTGAGGAAAATAATTGCCTTTCTTTTTTTGAGGGACCAATTGGTCATTAGCTCTTTTACTTTAATTATGTAAAAGCCTTTTTTTTAGATGAATGCAAATACAAAAGTTCAGGTCTCTCTCTCCCTCTCCCTCCCTTTCTCTCTCTCTCTCTCTCTCTCTCTCTCTCTCTCTCTCTCTCTCTCTCTTTCTCACTCTCTTTCTCCCTACCTCTTTATTACTTCTCTCTCTCTCCCTCTTCCTCTCTCTCTCTCTCTCTCTCTCTCTCTCTCTCTCTCTCTCTTTATGCCTCTCTCTCCCCCTCTCCCTCTGTATTTCTCTCTTTGTCTTTCTCTCTCTCTATCCCTCTTTATGCCTCTCTCTCTATAAATATTGCTGGTGCTACGTACCACATCACCAGAGATTTTAGGATCTTTGTGCTGCATTATCCGTGAAGTATCCAAAGCAACCGGTGATCTACTCAGATCCTGTATCTGACTCATGCTTCCAAACTAGAATAATGGCCTTACCGATTCAACCACCTTGCTGCTCGGCACACCATCAGCCTTCGTCATTATTTCCATTTCCAGTAATTCCGCTGCAATGATGTTTTATAGGGGTGAACCTCCAAAGGCCGTGGGTAGTGAAACTTCTGGGATAGCTTCTTGACCTTCAGATGTTCAAAGTTTTGCCAATGCTGGAATCCTGGGGACGCGCTAGGAAGTGGGCAAAGGTAGTGCGTCAGCTGGTTTGGTCCTTGGTGTCAGGCCGACTCAGAATGTCTGGATGAAGCCTGAGCTGATTGCCCTCAAGTTGGAGGTGGATGCCTCAACTGTTTTGGGGGCTGATGGGATGGTCTCGTTGAACCTGGACAAGGCTAGAGGAAATATCCAAAAGCTTGAAAGAGCTCTGGTGGGCAGCCTCCTTGGGCAAAGAGTACCCTTCTTGGTGGTGCAAAGTGAACTTCAGATGAAGTGGGGGCACTTGGGTCTCACCCGTATTACGTCGATGGGAGCAGACTACTTCTTGTGCTGGTTTGAGGATGCCAGTGCAAGAGACAAAGTTATGATTGGGGGCCCATGGTTCATGGCAGGCCAAATCATTGGGGTGGAGCAATGGGCTATTTGATCAATGTCGAATTCCTCAAGGAAGTTTACCTCTCCGGTTTGGATACGGCTTCCCAATCTGTCGTTGGCTTACTGGGACGCAGAAAATCTGGCCTGGCTTGCCACTGGCATAGGGGAACCCCTTTATATGGATGAGCCGACCAATTCGTGGAATAGATGCACCTTTGCACGTATTTGCGTTCGGTTGGATTTATCAAAGAAGCTGCCTAAGGGTGTGTGGGCTCACGGGCTGGGAGGCTCTTTCTTCCAACCTATTGAGTATGAGGGCATTCCTATAATTTGTTTGAATGGTGGGAAGGTCAGCCATAAGGCGGAGGCGTGTAAGGAATCCAGAAATATGGTTAATGTGCACCCGCCCCCACCTACTACGATGGGGCCTGCTCCCCCTATGCACAGGAAGGATATGGAGGTGGACCGTGTTGATGTTGAAGGTATGAGCATGAAGATAGCTTTGGCTGATGTGTCACCCGTGTTGGATAACGAAGAGCAAGGCGAGTGGACTATTGTCAATAGAAGAAGGAGACCCAAATCAGCCAGGAACAGTGCAAATTTGATAGACCAGAGGAATGTACAGTCCGGAATGGCAAAGAGGACGTCCAACAGTATGGCTTGGAAAGGTGTTAATAAGGGGGATGTCCATATGGGGATTGATGGGGGGAACGATTATGGTATTACGGATACGACTAAGAACTCAAGGAATGTTGAAAGTTTGGATCTGGGCCATAATGCTAACGAGAGGGGACAGGTGCTGGATGGAGGGATCAGCGGCTCATCTGATCCCATGATTGACTCGCATATGAGGGATAAAAATTGTGATGAACCTATCACGGTGCTCAAGACTAATGCGGTGCTTCCACAGACTGGGATGGACTTCCCGAAAGCGTGCTCTCTGGACGGCATGGTGACGGATGGCTTTGGAAATCTCCCTCACATGAATTCTCTTTCGGATGGTGCAGTGGACAGTGGGGAATCCAGGGTGGTGGAGAGTTGCTCTACGCTGGGGTCTACACGGTTGCCTGGCACCAGGCGGCAGAAACGTGGTGAAGCTAATGCTTCCCCTGCTCAGAAATTGACCCCAAGGGTGTTGCGTTTTTCTGGAATGAATTCAGATGTTCATAAGGTGAAAAATGTAAACACAAGAGGAGCTAAAGACAGATGAATGAAAGAATTGTGGTGCATTGGTCCCCTTCAGAAGTTTCCTGGTGTCCGTAGGAACAGGGACAGACGTGAAGGGCTTACTCCCCTACACTCCGAGCTCAATGTAACGATCAAGGATTGCTCCTCTGGTGGCAAGATGGATGAGGAGTTCACGGATCAATGGAAAGAGGTTTTCTCGGATGTCTTTTGCGGCGGGGACACTTCCCCTTTGGTGGATAATGTTTAACATCCTCTGTTGGAATTGCAGAGGTGCGTGTAAGAAGGAGACCGGGAACTTCTTACGACACCTCATCGGGGAGCACAACATCAGTATCATTGGTCTAGTTGAGACCAAAATGGAAACATTCTCTCGTGCAGATGCGGACAAGCTTGCGGGGAGGAATTGGGATTTGTGCTTTCAGCCTTCAGTGGGTAGGGCTGGGGGTATTCTTGTTCTTTGGCTAGGTGCGATTGGCACCTTTAATGTCACCTTTCAAATGAACCAATGTATTATGGGGAGTTTTAGGTGGACGCGTTCTCCGTCATGGAAGCATGCTGTGGTTTATGTCGTTAAAGATAGGTACACTAGGCAACGGATTTGGGAGGATATCTCGCAGCATCATGTTGCCAACGCCCCTTTGGTGGTGGTGGGGGACTTCAATTGCATTATGGGGGGGGGGCACTTCAACTGCATTATGGCAAAGAGTGAGAAGAAGGGGGGGAGACCCTTTGTTTTCAATCCTGTGGCAGGCGATATAGGAGATTTCATGAATGCTAATGGCCTGATTGACCCTGGATTCTCGGTACCTGCCTTCACATGGACAAACAATAAGGATGCTGGAAGTCGAATTTACTCACGGTTGGATCAGTTTCTGATCAGTTCATCCATTCTGGATGAATTTCAGGGCTTGAAGGTTAAGCACCTCTCTAGGCTTACTTCTGATCATTGTCCCATCCTCTTTTTAATTCAGGCGGGTGGTAGGAGGGCTTATTCCTCTTGGATCCGGTTTGAAGATGTTTGGGCCAGCTATCCTAGGGCGTGGCAATTGGTTACGTAGAAATGGAAGGTGCACAATTCTGGCTCGGAAGAGACGATTCTGCAAAGAAAGTGCCAAAGGACTCTCAAGGCACTGTTCTTTTGGAGTAGGAATAAAATCAAGCTGTTGAACCAGCTAAAGGATGAGCTTTATCGTGAGATTAGCATTTTACAGGAAATTGATTGCTCTCCCTCCGGCCACTCTTAGGCCCAGTCCGAATCTCTCAAATATAAGGTCTACTTGCTGAAGGCAACTCTGGCCAGGATCATGACTTGGTGGGGGCAACGTGCGAAGGTTCAATGGATTGAGGATGGGGACGGGAACACACGGTTCTTCCACAATATGGCTTCGGTGAGAAGGAGGACCAATCTCTTTGATCAGCTCAAGCATCCGGATGGGAGGACTGTTACTGATCAGACCATGATTTTGATAATGATTAAAGAATTTTTCCAACAGAAATGGGAGAACAATGATATCATAGACTACGGTGGCCCTCTTTTGATTCGCATTTTGCTTGCTTGTACCGCCTTGGTATGTCTATGGACAGTGAGATCACCCGTGAGGAAATATGGAATGCGGTGAAGTCATTGGTAAAGAATCGTGCTCCTGGACGTGATGGTGTGACGACATCCTTCTTCAAATCATTCTGGGACATTGTTGAGGAACAGGTCAGCTTGGCGTGTTTGGAGTTTTTCTCCTTGGGACGGATGGAGCCGGAGTGGAAGGATACTGTGGTGGTTTTACTGCCTAAGGGCAATAATGCGGACCATCCGTCTAAATTTAGACAGATCAGTCTCTGTCAAACTATCTACAAGGTCATTGCGAAGATTTTAGTTAACCGCATCAAAGGCATATTGCCTTCCATTATTTCAGAGGAACAAGCAGCCTTTGTGCCGGGGAGATCAATCTCTGATCACTGTCTTTTTGGGCAGGAGATCATGAACATGTTCAAGGTTTCCAAGTCTACTAAAGGGTGGATGGCATTGAAAGTCGACATGGAGCAAGCCTATGACAAAATGAACTGGAGAACACTGGAGGTTGTGCTGACTATGATGGGTTTCCCCCAAAGATTTCGATCGTGGGTGATGAGTTGTGTCACTGCTCCACGATTTGCCATTTTGGTGAATGGAACCCTTACGGATGGGATCACGGCTGGCTGCGGTTTTTGGCAAGGGTGCCCGCTCTCACCATACTTGTTCATTCTTTGCTCGGAGTTGCTGTCTCTCCATTTTCGCCAAAACTATCCAGAGTTAGGCGTCCAAATCAGGGTGGGAGGAATTACCGTCTCCCACCTCCTTTATGCTGACAACGTTTTATGTTTTGCAGGTGCTACCATCCCTAATGTTCGGAAGCTTCTGATTATCCTGGATGACTATTGCAGCTGGACGAAGCAAAGGAATAATAAAAATAAATCTGCTATTTTATTTAGCAGAATGGTTACGACCTCCACTAGAAGCTGCCTAGCTAGGCTTGCGGGGTGTCGTAAGGTGGAGGAAATGAATTATCTTAGCATAAAATTTGCAATGAGAAGGCTCACGAAGGAAGATTTCAGCCCTCTCTTAAGGAAAATTCAATCGCATATATTAGCTTGGGGTTCTCGTCAGTTATCTTTGGCGGGTAGGATTACAAATGATTAATTTTGTGTTTCTTCCGCTGTTGGTGTTTGCGATGACTCACATGCTGGTTCCTCGGGGTGTTCTTGATGAAGCGGAAAGACTTTGTCGGAGCTTCCTCTGGGATAAGGATCAGAATCACAAGAGTCTGCATTATGCGGCTTGGGGCAGCCTCATTAGACCGAGGCGTCAGGGAGGTCTCGGTTTTCATGCTAGCAGCAGCTGGACGGGGCCCCTCCGTGCAAGAATTTCCTGAGATTTCCTAAACAAGCCTCATAATATTTTCCAAAGGTGTATGAGGCACAAGTATGGGGCTTGGCCATGGATGATGGAACATAAAAGGGGTGAATCGAATGGGTGGAGAATTATCTGCAGTGGGGCGGAGAGTTTGGTAGGCTATCTCCGGTGGAAGGTCTGCAACGGAGCGGATATTGACACGATCAATCATGTTTGGATACAGAACTATGCCATTTGTTCTTGGCCGACGTTCTGTAATATTGAGCTTGCGGAGGGCAGCCGGGTGGACGAGTTCATCACGTTGGGTGGTGGATGGGATCGGAACAAGCTACGACATTATTTTGGGGAGACCCTCGTTGAGTTGATTTGCGAGGTGAGAATCTGGTCGGAGCTTCATACCGACACTCTTGAGTTAACCAAGAGCATGTTGGGCACCTCGTTGTCTGCCATCTGCTATAATGCGGAGTATATGGGGGAGGAAGACCAGGTTTGTACCATTCTGGATATGCATATGCGACCCCGTGAGAGAGTCTTCTGGTGGAGGCACTTCAAGGACCTTATCCCTACCCTTACTTGGTTCAACTGCCAGGGCCTTGGGGCTGGGCTCAGCTGTCCGATCAGTTGTAACCAGCATGAAAATCTCGATCACGTTACAACGCAATGTCTGCAATTACTCAAGATCCTGAAGCGTCTGGATGATTGGGGCTTTGTCACGCCCAGGTTTGCGTGTTTTATGGATTTGAAGGAGGCTCTGCATAGGGGACTTGCGACCAAAGCCTACTGGACCAAGATCTACTGCTCGGCGATCTTCTACAGCTGGGGAAACAGGAATGTTATTCATCATGGCAAGACGGTGAACTCCATCACTGGGCTGGCCGCAATGGTTCTCGGATCCACCAAACACTGTCTTTTTTCGAATAGCTTGGAGCAACGGTTCACCCATCAATCCGTTGGATTGTTTCAGAATGCATCTTGGTGTCCGCCCCCCCCCCCCTTCAGGCTGGTTGAAAATCAACATGGATGGTGCGTTGCGTAGGAACAATGCAGGCGGCATCGGGATCATTATAAGGGATTCTCAATGTAATCTGGTGGTGGCGGCGGGTTGGGGAGTCTCGCATTGGGATAGCACGCAGTTTAAACTAATGGCCATTCAATACATCGATCGGATCATTCAAGACTGGATGTTTGATCTTGACGGGGTCCTTATCGAGGGAGATAATGCAAGTGTGATCGACTTCATGTATAAGTGCCTACATACAGAGATTTGAAAGCTGAGGCCAGAAGAGGGTGAGAGATTTAACTGGCTTAAATCTTTCCATAAGGTGCTTTTTATTCACACGAACAGGGAGTACAACAAGGCGGCTCATTTTAGCGCTCAAAGAGCGATTGAGGATAGTTTTGTTTGGGATATAGGAGATAATAGATACACATGTATTCCTCAAGATTTTTTGACCATCCTTGAGGATGATAGAAATAGTTTTACCCCATCTTAGGGGCTTATGGTGTTTTGGGTTCTTTTTGTAAGTGATTTTAGATGAATGCAAATGCAAAATTCAACTCTATAAATATTGCTTCTCTCTATATATATTTATTGCATCTCTCTCTCTCTCTCTCCCTCCCTCCCTCCCTCTCTCTATTGCATTTCTCTCTCTCTCTCTCTCTCTCTCTCTCTCTCTCTCCCTACCTCTTTATTACTTCTCTCTCTCTCTCTTTATTGTTTCTATCTCTCTCTCTCTTTATTGTTTCTATCTCTCTCTCTCTTTCTCTATCTCTCTCTATTGCTTCTCTCTCTCTATAACTCTCTCTCTTTATCCCTCTCTCTCTCTCTTGATTACTCTGGGAATGAAAATTTTTGTGTTGCTCGAGAGAAAAATTTTTCTCTCGGATTGGAGATCTTATCGGCGGGGTTTGATCGTGAGGCTCTTAGGTTATGGTGGGGGGTGACTGTCGGTCACTCCCTTGTCACCAGTCGAGGAGCGGCGGAGGGAGGGAAGCTGGAGGTGGGAGGAGTTCTGATGTTAGGTCTGGTAGAAGTGATGGAGGGAGGAACATGGCTAGGGGAAGGAGTTTGGGAGCTGGTGTTGTGTATAGCATAGGGGCTAATAGTTAGAGGAGGTTCTCGTTATTAGGATTGAGTGGATTGGAAGACATTGGAGCTGAAGGAAAGCAGCTTTTCTATGTCCTGTCTCTAGTTAAGGCTGGGGGTGTAAGATCGGGAGGCAATGTAGCTTCTGTGAAGGCTACAAGGTAGGACGCTACATCTACAGAGGTGATTGGAGTTGAAGGGAGAGGGTTTGTCAGATCTCTAGGTAGAGATGGGTGCTCCATAATGGATGGCTCAGTTATAATCTGAGAAGATGGTCAGCCTTGATGCTGAACCCAGCGAGGAGGTGGAGGTTGTTTCGAATACTGAGATGGTGGATCGAGATTTGGTGTTGTAGGATTCATCCGAATTGGATGATGTCATGGAGATTATGTGCGGAAGTGAGGCCGAGGAATTTTTTAAGGAGGTCAATGCTAGTATTGGATTGATAGTCTAGATGGAAGCTGTTAGCTCATATGCACAAGATGAGATGACTATTGATGATGAGAAGATTGAAATGCTGGATTTCGGTGAAAAAGGGTCTCTTACCTCCTGTGAACAGATTGAGGTAAGTAAAATTCTGGATAATCCTATGTTGGAACTTGATAAGATGCAATTTATATTTGGTAACGTGGGACATGTTAAAGATCTGCATAAGGTTTCTTTTGTTTGGGATGTTCAGGAAGCCTGTATGAATGTTGATAGGGATAAGCCACGACTTAATTTTGGTATTATTGGTAGTGTTGCTGGTTGTAGTAAGATCAATGATGCGGATCTGTCAATTAGGTGAAATGCAAGATGTTGATTGTAGGGATTCCTTCAATGCTCCTGTACGAACACCGGGTGTTCGTAGTAATGCTCTAGTTGAAAATCCTTTCTCTCAGCAGGGACATGAACCTTCTAGGTTAATTAAAAGAGAAGCGGATGAGATTAGGACTACAACAAATTCTTGGAAAAAGACTATGCCAGTTATTTTAAATTTGTATGATGATGTTAAAAAATTCCTGCGGGAAGATGGTTTGGTTAAACTGGACCTGAGTAAGGCAAAAGGAAATATTCAAATACTTAAAAGAGCATTAGTTGGCAGT